TGGATTATTGGTCTTGCGTTAGCTCACCTCCTCTGTATGACAGAGGCATCCAAGGAGCCAATACTATATTATAGCTCTCAGGCTTGATTAACCTCTTTAGCCAGAAAGGCCTAAACAGGTATCACTGCTGCTCCCTCGCCCCTTTTTTGGAATCTCCTGAGGAGCTGTGGGAAAAGTGGGAAGACATAAGTAGTAGGGACATTGACCAGGTTTGTAAGATGCCATTCACCACTCCACATCCAAGGTCCTGACAGAGAGGCTGTAGAGCACTTTATTTACTATTTCCATATGCAAAAAGGTCAATCAGCAGCCCTCCAAACTGACCTGCAATGAGCGATGTATTTCGGAGAGCATCAGTCACTCTGCAAATCTGATTTTGCCAGATAAACCTTGGTTTTAATCTCCTCATTGATAGGCAGTGTGATGGTGTGGGGAAGACTGTGTCCAATTACGAATTCCATTTGGTTTTATAAATGCTATTTGTAATTGTAAGAGTCACGTGGATTTTTATATCATCCATTTTGTAGTAGGAACTTGACATGTAGTGAGGAAGCTGTCTGGAAAGCCATAACAGAACCATCAAAGGCCATCAGCATTGAATGGCTCTCCTGTTGGGATACAGTGGGACTGCTACCACCAGGGCCATTGACTCTAAATAGAATCTGCAGAGGAGTCTGTCTTGGGGAAGAGAGCTGGAAATCCCCTGTTCAAAGCACATGGCTGTGAGAACAGGGTTTTTTCCCCCCCATGACTAAAGAAAGAAAGGCCATTTTCCAAGGGGTGGGTGTCATGACCAGAACTGTTCTGTTATCCATGGAAGGAGCTGTGCACTGAGACCTCAATAAATCACTGTGTTCTAGCTGATGGATGCTGTGCTGTCTCCATCTGTTACACATACCCTGAACTGAACTGGGAAGATGTTTAAAACAAAACAAAAACAAAAACCATGATTCTCTGCTTCACCAGTTGTAGGAGCAGAGAATATAGATCTGCCAATGGATGAAGTAGCAATGCAGAAGGGATACCGAGAATTACTGGATAGGTATCATATGAACTCTGGATCACTGAAGCATGCCTGTGTATCAGACCAGAAATCCCAACAGGAACCAATAGGAATTGGGTTTGCATCTCTTTGACACCACTTTCTATTATGGCCATCTTCATCTTCTGTTGACGTTCTCCTGAGATGAGATCTTTTACCTGATAGATTCATTCTCAGTTCAGGCCTATGACTGGCTTCCCTGGCACCATGTATTTGTGTTTGCCCTGAATCCAAGATACTCCAGGAACCACATCACTCCATGTGTTTGCTTCAGTTTTCTCTGTCGTCCAGAACCCAGATCAGAAAAATTGTCCAGGAAGAAATAAGTGAATTTTCTTCTTTTCTAAAGCCAGTATAATTACTACCAAGATCCTGGAGAGAGACCTTGAGAGCGCATGTAAAACAGTATGGTAATATTTGAAGTTGGGAAAAGAAAACAGCTGCCATCCATCTGCAAAACATAGAAATTATCTGAGGATAATAAAATGGGAATGCTTTGAAGACTAGCCTCCACTCAGAACTTATTTAGATGTTTTAGACAGGGCTCTGCTCTGCTTGTCCCCGATTCTCTGAGGCTAGAAATAGCATTGGGAGCAGGTAGCAATATTCCAATCTGAAGTAGATTTTGGATTACTTCATTCATGTCATGGTCTTTCCAGGTTGCTGGGAATGGGACAAAGTTGCTCTTGAAATTTTTGCACAACTCTACAGGGTCCCTTCTCACAATGTCCAGTGAGCTCATTTGATCAAAGCTATAGGTAGCCCTTTTGCTCTCAAATTGAGAGAGCCTGGCACCAATTTAGGGTCTAACTCCAGACAGAGCCATTTGGGAGATAGCTCTGAGGCAAAAATGAGCAGCTAATGACCTACTACCACTTGTGAAGAGATATTTTCTCCTAAGTACTTCACAGACTGCTTCAACTTGTCGCATGACCTGTATTCCTTTCCATAGTGTGTGGCAGGAGTCAGGATCATAAGTTGACTTTTCTGCTGGCTCTGAATAGCCGCTGCTTTCCATAAAGTTTATTGTACCACTAAGATAGCTCAGAACAGATTTCCCTGAGTATTTGATTCCAAGGACTAAAGCCCCATATAGCTGCATGAAACATATTTGAATGACACTTTTTTATTCTTCTCTTTCCAGGGAGAAGTCTGTAGGACATGCAATTTTTAGGCTGAGAGGCAGCATACTCATAATACTGTCCACCCATGCTAGTATTGCTTATGAAAGCATACAGAGTTACTTAGGAATCAGATAACAATTCACATTTGTTTGTTTATTCCTTCTTGCTGGCCTGATGCCACCTGAGAGTTTTCATGGCAAAGCAGGGGCTGAGATAATGCCTGCCTGGACTGGGCTGCCAGTGAAGTGCCCACATATTGAGGACGCCACTCTTTCAGGTAAAAAATCTCCCACAATTAGAAATTCCGAGTCCCTGCCCACTGTGGAAAATATTCCCATTTATCTTTGGTAATGATACCAAGTTAAATATTGACCAGTGTACACGGAGGAAACTTCTGGTCTTAAAGAATGAAGGCTGGGAGAGGGTGTGGTAGAAAGAAAAACCATGGACCAAGAGGCCCCTCAAGGCCTTCTGGTTCCTCCACATCCGGGGTGCTGTCTCTCATCTGCTGAGGGGAAGAGGTGGTGGTGCTGGCAAGGCATAAAATTCTGCAACAGAAGCTTGGAGCAATAACCTGGATATTAGGGCATTGTGTCCCACAGCAGCCACTGAGAATGATGGTCAATAATTTAGGGAATGGTGACCTGCAGTGCCAGCTGGGGCAAACAGCTTTCCCAGACTCGTAGGAGTGGCAAGAAACCCCTATTAAAACTTTCCAGGGTAGATGAGAAAGGATATATAATTTGTCTAGGTCATTTGCAGACTTCTTAAGACTAATTTCACAATATGCAGTACACTCCAACCTGAAAGTTCTGGTTCTGACACTAAGGTGTAAACAGGCTGAAGTGCCCATTGTATCTATCTGTGGCTCTTACCATGAAGAAGAATGACATCAGATGGCATTACACTTGGTTTATATTTTTATCAAGCAAAGATGACCAGCTTCCTATTCAGGTTTCTTCCTAAGTTATATACCCATGTCCCCCAGAAAAGGAAGGTCTGCTCTGTCACCTCTTGACCTGTCACTAAATTCCCTGCAATTGTCAATATGAGAAAGCTGATGAGAAAATGAGGGTATTCTCCTTTCTTACAAATTAAGTTATAATGAGGGGGAACTTGTTGGAAATCACACACAATTTAAGTAATCTTCAGAAACACCAAAACATGAAGACTTTCAAACACAGCTGCTACCATTCTTGCCAGTAAAATGTAAAAACATAACTTCTTGGCTATCTGACTAAAATAACTGGGTAGCACGAAATTTCTTATAATATGAAGATATTCTCTGTCATAAATTGATGTTCAACTTAAGACCATTGGATGTGAATAACATCGTGAAAACTCCACCAATTTGAAAGTTCATATGTCAGGACAAGGAATCCATCTCCTCTTCAACATTGAGGAGGGGGGAGGGATAGCTCAGTGGTTTGAGCATTGGCCTGCTAAACCCACGGTTGTGAGTTCAATCCTTGAGGGGGCCATTTAGGGAACTGGGGTTAAAAAAAAAAAAAAAAAAAAAAGTGTGGGGAATTGTCCTGCTTTGACCAGGGGACTCTTGAGGTCCCTTCCAACCCTGATATCCTATGATTGAATTAAGCCATTGCATCAAATTAAGTGAGAACCATCACAAAAATATAATCCAAAGAGCTCTTTGTGGTTTGACACCATATTACTTTTGAAGATGTCATCTGGAGGAGACTGATGGAATGTAACGGTTGCTACTAAATTCCTTAAATTACTCCTTAAAAAATGTTTTTCCCCAGCATCATGGGTATTCTTCAATTACCAATGTTTCCCTCACCATAAATGCAGTGGGAGGTTTTATTTACAAGTTTTCGATTTTATCTTTAATATTCTGGGCTTCCTTGGGTACAAAGACCCAAATTAATGATACTCATGTCTCACTAGTCTGAACACGTCTAAGGGCTGGTCCACACTTACCCCCCAAATCGAAGTAAGGTACGCAAATTCAGCTACGTGAATAATGTAGCTGAATTCGACATACCTTACTTCGACCTTACCGCGGTTCAGACGCGGTCCACACGCGGCAGGCAGGCTCCCCGTCAACTTTGCGGTACTCCTCTCGCTGAGCTGGAGTACCGCAGTCGACGGGGATCACTTCCTGGTTCGATTTATCGCGTCCAGACCAGACGCGATAAATCGAACTCGGAACTTCGATCCGCAGCCGTCGAACTACCGGGTAAGTGTAGACTAGCCCTAAGAGTTAAGACACTATGGTTTCAAATTCATTATTCAGTATCCCGCAGAATTACCTATCAGGTAATACGTAATGCTTTCAGACATTTATGAAGTGTCCTCAGAAAACACTTTTCCCTTATAAAATTAATCCTATTGAAACTGTGAAGCTATAGGAAAGAGGGGGGGAAAATCTGACATTAATCAATACAACCAAAATTTGTATTTATAATTCATCCTAGATTTTGAACCATTATAAAAGCAAGCATGGGGAGAGGGAGAAAATGGAGGTGTCATCTCAAAGACAGATCTTGAGCCAGTCTCAGTTTCAATATGGGAAAAGTAACACTGCACAGAAAGACACACACATATTCAGTTACTTACTATAGGTACTGCAGATACATGGAAATCTGGCAACCAGAAACTATGTGTTTCTTGCCAGTGGGCGCCAGTATTGCAGAATTAAATATTATAATCATTTTTCTTTGTACTGAGGAAGCTGAGGCAAAGGAAATGTTAAGTGAATTGCTCAAGTCAGAGACAAAGCGGAGATTAGAAATTGAATCCCACTGTTGTGCTCTATGCATAGAACTATGTGATGGTATAGTTCTTTAAGGATTCCTTAATCCCTTTCTTACCTTGCCTTTCTGGTTTAACGGTTCAATAGTTAAGCTGTCAGGGCCAATATCCACGATATTCCCCATCTGAAACCCATCAGTTGGGTGTGGAGCCCAAACAGGCTTCCCGTCCTCCATCATTGGAACTATTCACTATTCCTGTAAGGAAAAAAAAAAAAAAAAAAAAAACCCTGTATAAAAATCTGATCAACTGTCTACAAACTTTAATTTGGTATTTTTCATCCAAACACAGAGTATATAAAATGAGAACATGAAACACTGATTTCTAGTATTAAGTAGTTACACCCATATGTACGCCTTATTGATTAAAAAACTTTGACTGTAACCTCTGTCCAAATGCTCTTTGGAAACAGTTTTAGATTATGTCTTGAATTCAAAATGCACCATTTATTATGCAAAAACACAGGCATCTGAAAAGGCTAAAGATCTAAGGCCAACACTTTCAAACTTGGATTCCTAAAGTTAGATACCTAAATAAGTGCTTAATTTACAGAGTTACTCAACACATACAACAGCAACTGAATTAAATAGGAATTTTGCCTGGATTTGGACTTTCTGAATAGGCCTAAACACAATATTTTTATATACTGTATTTGTCTTCATTCTGGATAACTACTTTAATACTAGATAATCTCTATTATATAGATTATAAATCAGATTTGTGGATTCCACCGAGTCTGACAGACAAGTTCATTCCAGTTGCCAGTTCCTTCCTTTCCCCTCAACACACATTCACACATTAAAAGAGATCTGCTTCAGTCATCTCTAAAGCTTCAGGGTTTGTAAAAGTATACTTCTGGTATATGATCTACTCTTTGGCCATTATCCCAAAATAACCTGCTAACCAGTAATCATTAAACTGGAAACAGACTTCAAATAAACATACAAAACACCCTGAAAGGTATGAAAGTACTGTTTAAATGGAAGAATAACTCACAATTTTTTCCCTTCCCACCCCCTTGAGCTAGAGCAGTGGTTTTCAACTGGGGGTCCACAGACTACGTCTAAGATTTCCAAAGGGGTCTGCACCTCCATCTGAAATTTTTAAAGGGTCCACAAATGAAAAAGATTGAAAACCACTGGGCTAGAGGAACTTCTATACCTGTAACATTCAGAGACAGCTCTGGATAATTTTGTTATGTGCAAAAAGGAAGAAACTTATATGTAAGAGGTCCTCACCCACTGGCTAGTGAAACAGCCCAAAAGAACATATTTATACAAACATTATTCAGCTCTAAAAGTCAATTATTTTAATAACTTTGAAAAAACATTTTTACAGCTTACAAACATTCAATCACCGAACAGCTAACTGTAAAAAAATATATACTTTTGGTTTTAATTACACTCAGTACTTGAAATTATATTCAAACGTATTTCTAAGTGTCCTCATGATATAGAAAGTTTCACCTAATTATAGCACAATAGTCTCATTTCTCAGATTCCACTACCGTTAGAGGATGTATTGAAATATGATGCATCTAGGGTAGTTAAATTTCTAATATTACACTAGTGCCCAAAAGTACTGGGCATAATAGACACACAGGAAGACATCCCTTAACTTACATCTGAAGACACAGAGCAGATGAAATAGGACGAAGGAAGTACAACATACAAAATAATCAGGGTAGTTGGTGACTGACACATTTAGTCACTTCCATGTTTTGTTTTTCTCCAAAATACTGAACCTATCCCCTTCTGCCCCTCTCCCAGCCATTGTTAACGTTTCTCATTTATTCCACATCTATTTTGCTTAGTTACCAGGCTAAAACACAAATGATTTCCCCCTAAATATGTGATATTTCTAATTGCCAGACCTGCAAACTCAACCCAGGATCTGGAAGTCAAGCTACGACCTTTCTGAATTCTAATAAAGACTGCAAGACAAAGTTTTTCTTTCAGGTATATCTGGTGCAACTCATGTTTATTGTGGTTGCAGAGGAATAACCAAGCACAACTTGAAGACAACATCGTCGCACATACAACTGCAACTTAATTGACATCAAAGCCAGAAAAAACAATGTCAATTCATTCTCCCAGTACTGTGCTGGTTCTGCATGGCTGGCAGTAGTGAAAGTAGTGGCTTTAAAAAAAAAAAAACACACACACTAATGCAAGCAGATATGACAGAATATACACAGGAAACAGAATTGTGGAGTAAGGTGATGCTGTTTATACATAGCCTTTTCTCAAAGTAGAATTCACTTTAAAATATGCATTGTTTCTCAAGGGGAAAATTATTAAATATTAAAAGAGTGTTTCTATAAAAAAAAAAAAGACTGAACTCTGAGGAGTCTTATCAAGATTTCGTGATATCCAACATCTAGATCTTAGAATGTGTGTGTGACAGATATTGCAACCCCATCAATATTTGTGGTGGCCCACTGTATTAAATCTACAAATAGTCTATGCATGATTGTTCATGTATGCGGGAGGGTTACCACAGCTCCTCCAGGAACTAGACAGTGAATTAAGGTGAGTCACTGAGACTAAACAATTCCAGAGAGGCTCCCTTCAGAGGCTTATATATACTGATCCAACCTGGATTTTCCAGAGACGAGGAGACAAAGAAAGGGTTTCTGGCATAATAGGATGAGCTTGAACTGACTCAAGGCCTTCTTTGTGGTCCAGCAAACCATCAGGACCCTTGCAGAAGGATTGGAAAAACTTTGGCCTACTAGCACCCCACAAGACTGAGGACTGACTCCTGGTACGCTTAGCGTGTGTTTAAATCTGTTTATTAGGATTTGTGTGTGTTTTCTCTGTAATGCTTTGACCTTAAGACGAAGTGTGCTTGCTTAGAAAGAGCCACATGGTAACTTGTAACTGCGGGCGATACACCGTTCATAGCCCTCGGAGAGAGAAAGCAGTGCACAGGGGCTGACCTTTATACAGACTGGCTTGCTGGGGTATCAGTATCAGGCAGGCTATGCAGCCTTACAACCACCTGTCCTAAGGGAGTGGGACAAGAGTCACACAGGTGACAGCTGGAGACCTCAGACCTGCTTGGGAACTCCTGGAGTGGACCATGGAGGTGGAAATACACGTGCAGTTACCTTGAAACTATGACAGTGTGCATGTGGGCTTAGGGTGTATGAATCTAGAATTAAGATTAAAAAATAAGTTATTGGGATATATACTATTGTAAAAACTATATTGAATATAACAGAAACCTCTAATTCTATATTCTCTCATGTCCAGAGTATAAATCTTCAATATCTATCCAGCTACAGAAAAGTTTATGTTCTACAGTCAAGTTTGGGTTATGTTTACTTGAAACCTTCAGCCACATTCCATAAAGTCCACAACACCCGATTATCCTGGTCATGTGTTGTCAGCAACATACAGTAATTCCCTTAGAACAACATCTGTATTCACTCAGACTTGGCTGCTGGCCACCCCTCCCCCCCCCCCCCCTTTTTTTTTTTTTAAACTTCTGCAAATTTGATCAAATACATACCACAGTTCTATAGGTCTTTAAATATTGTGAGCCAGTCTTGTGTCAATTGTTATGACTCAAGTCCAATTGTTATGGGTGTAGCTGCTAAACATTTAAGTTTATTTATAGGCACAAGCAGACATTCATTTTCATAAGCCTATCATTTTCCTTTAAAATGCTTGCTCAGGTTGGTACTTAGTGATATGTCACACAACCATTAAAAACAGGGGAAAGCCTTGTTTTATGAGGAACACTGCCAATACTCCAGATGTAACCACATTGCACAACAAAATACATCCTGAAATTAACATATAGTCTCTCTTACCGCTACAGTTTCCGTACAATACAGTCAGGCTTCCGATGAATTGTCTCTACTTAAATTTGAAACCCAGTCCCTCAAATTAGCATCTTCAGGCTTTGACTTTCTTTGTTTATTCAGGCTTTTGCCTTTTCATACTCTCTGCAGTGTGTTTCACATCTTATTGGTAAATTACTGTTCAAATGTTCTGTGAACTTACAAAACCACTTCACTAACACAGTTACACTAATGATGACTAAAAACATAGTGGACAAATATTTGAGACCTATTATCTGACCACTCAGATGATGAACATTTTTAATAACTACACTCACAACTATCTAAAAGCCTTTAAAGACTAAGAAACAGCATAATACCAATGCCTGTGCTAATCTATCCATCTTGGGCACCAGTAATACACCCATCTCTATTAGTATCTCAACTCTGAATTTGTACTTCTCCTTCACTTGGCACATGTCATTGAAAAAAGCAAGTTGAACAAAAAAAATTTAAACTATGCTTTTGTGGTTTTAAAATATAAAACTTTGAAATACAATCTGTATTTAATATATACAAAAACAGAAAAAAGTTATATTTAAAAAGGAACACTGTGAAAATCATATTTTTCATTGTAAAACGGTACCTGTTGTTGTTACAAGTCACCCATAACATTACTACAACAAATGTTAAAAACACATCCCTCCCTCCCTCCCCCGTTTTTCTATTTATTTTGTGTAGGGATACTAATTACATATAATCAGTTTCACAATTTTGCATACCCTTCCCAAGCACTACAAGCACATTGTGATTGGGACAGCAGCAGCCGAACTGAAACTGAGGCCTTGTCTACACCATCGGGGTAAGTTGACCTAAGTTACGCTACTTCAGGTATGTGAATAACGTAGCTGGAGTCAACATAGTTTAGGTCGACTTACTGCAGTGTCTACACCGCGCTGCGTCAATGGGAGACGCTCTCCCATTGACTTATCTTATTCTTCTCATTACAATGGGGTACCGGAGTCAACTGGAGAGCACTCGGCGGTCGATTTAGCGGGTCTTCACTAGACCCACTGCATCGATCACAGCACTGTCGATCACCAGTAAGTATAGACTGAAAGTAAACAGATATCAAAACAGGTGTGTGCACAAAGGAAAGGGGAGATGAAGGATAGGCCCTAACATCAGTGGCACTGCTCTCATGCTCACCTTAAAGATCTTTTTAAACAAACAAATGAGAAAAAATGTAACCATCTTTTCAATTTTTACATTTTTTTAAATTTTGGGACATACCATTTCAAAAATAGTACTATTTGATAAAGTTTTTTGTGTATGTTTCAAAAAACAATGCAAGTTGATTGCCCCTTTAAGGGAGTGTTTTCACAATTAAAATGCATTACAGAACTG